ATATGCTGCTTTGCTTCATTTGCAGTCATTTATTTTCATTCTGTTCTAATAAAATGTCTGAAGCCTTTTAACATCAATAAATGAGTCTAATTTCTCTCTGTCTGCCTGTGACTGTATGGGCTGCCATTAAACTAGCCATGGAAATGGGCTTCATTAATGCTGGCACACGCACGCTCACTCTCACAAAGAAAGTTGTACTCCCACTTGTACCCACCACATAGAGACAGAAGTACACGTCCAGAAGCTTGCACATCCACATACACACATAAGTACCTCCTCACAAAAACTTTCCCTGACTGACTAAGACATTAGTCATTTGCCTATGAAAACCCATTATATGGCCGCCAATCATCATTGCTCTTACTGAGACAGAGCCCCATGCAAAGTATGAGAAGCATCAATCATGTACGGAGCACCTATTCACGTGTGAAATTTTTAATATACGTTTAATATGCCTTAATGGGCAGATTTATAATGTATGCTCCCATGTTCTGCTGTCTTGGCCAGCACTATGGCAAACATACCTCAAAGTCATCTTTCTTTTAAAGTTACTTTTTTAATTTGGTCACTCAATAAAACAGAGGATAAGTCTCTCTCTCTCTCTCGCACACACGCAGATGTGATGTCGTGGGTCATTTGGTCGTGGCTTGTTTCTATGTTGGTGGCTCTGTGATGAGGGGACATTAATGAGTGAGACATCAGTGAGGCAAAAAGGCTGGGTTTTCTGTGGTGTTACGGACAGATAGATAGATACACAGACAGACAGACAAACAGACAGATTGATAGAAGACGGAGCATTTCATTACGTCAGAGTGATCTTTTGCAGTTTTATCTCCAGCACTGCGTCTCTGTAAAACATGTAGAATGCACATCACAGCCCACTGAGATTTGCATTGCTCCACTCTATTATCCCCTTTAGTGTGAAAAATGAGCAGTCAATAGACACGTTATCATCGTAATGATCATGCCGCCCTGCACTTAAGATTAGATCCATGTTTGCTTTTCCTCTGCACAGGATATTACACCCCACCACACCAAACCTCTCTGGGACTTGGTAACATCACACAGCAGACACTGACATTACTCCTGCTCTGTGCTGCGTTCATATGTTTTTGTCTTGGGAGACAGAGCAAATAAAGAGAGAGGATGGTCATACATGTGGGAAGTCAGAGTCAGATTGAGGTTACTTTCATACGTGTGGACTGATTAATTTGTTGTGGACACTAGAAAAAATATACATTATAGCTTTTTGCTGTAGTTTACATCTGTTTCTTGTTCTGTTCACAATCAGGTGGAATGAGAGAAAATATCATAGACTGTAGATAAAGATGGACAACATGACGGCTACAAAAATGGGGTTAAACATCATGATTGACAACTGAGTCTGATTCGCAATTGGTCGAACCCGTGTATCAGTGGAACCTCGCTACCACAGCTCCATCCCTGATCACTACTGCGCAGACTATGGCTCCTAATGTGCAAGATGGCGCAGATCTTATTTGGGATATTTTGGTTTTATTGCTGGAGAGTGGGAGAAAGTGGAGATGAGTAATCCATCTTTAAATACAGTCAATGGAAAAGATTCATAGCTGACCTGAGGCTAAATTAGTGAACAAAGAAGCTTCTAGGCTCCTGGTGGCCTAAACAGATTGAACTTGGGGTTGCAGAAAGTCTTGTTATATGTTGTTAAATGTTATATCCTGACAGGTCAGCATTAGGTATTTCGATGTGAACCGTGTGCTACCCTTTAATCCAGCCCTGCAGCGACGCCCCTTGTAAGTGCGGCTGTGCAACAGTGTTGTGGACTGTTTTACATCATTAAGATAAAGTTTCCATTGTCAATTTGACTTTTATGAGTGGAAGTGTGCTCAGATCCAGAATGAGAACTGTTTCATTGAGCCAAGTGTAACAGATGCCTTAGAAGCAAGATGAAGTCAATCCATGCCGACCTGAAAACACAGCAGGCCTGACCCACTGCAGGTAGACTCAGGACAAAGTGAGCACACCCCGCTCAGGAGTTGTGGGGAAAGAGAGGAGGTCAATATGACGGAGCTGCAGAATCTGTGAGTGTCTTCCAGTTGACCCAATGTCCCACAGAGAGCAGTGTGCCAACAATGATTAGAAGAATAGACGGGAAGAGAAGTGGAAAGAGAAGCAGCAAGGATTAAACTGCCTCTCGCTGTGTGTCTGTGTGTGTGTGTTTCTGCAGTATGTAATATCTGTTGTTTGCAACCAAAACTACAGGGACTAGATGGAACAGAATAAATGGTGAGAGGATGAGTGCTCAGATGGAAAGTGTCTAAATAGAGTTCAGATACAATTTTATTTGGCCATATGGACACAAGTTGTGCAGAGAACACATGCACACACACACAATTAAATGCCTAAACCTAGACCTTTCCGTAACCCAAACCCAATTCTCAGTCATGCCCTCACTTTCCTAAAATTGCACACACACACACACACACACACACACACACACACACACACACACACACACAGATGTGTATTTGTGCACAAAAACATATGTATGTAGTTATTTTCCACAGTAAATTGACAGTCAAGAGTTTATCTGAGTAACTGGCACAATCAAGTGCCACTCCTGAAAAAACAATGTGCACAATTGTACTGTAGTGTTTTTCCTTGTTCTCTCTCAAGATAGTTTTAATCAAGGCCACATCCAAACCACCTACAGCAAATTCTTAAAGTCAAGAGCATTTTTTATTATATTATGTCCTAAAAACTGCAACTAACAATGTCTAAAGTAATTAAAGATTATTTCCACTGAGAAAAGGTATGAAAACAGAGACATTTTCCTCCACAAAAGGAGAGAGAAGTACTCTTTCTCTCTTTCTTTCTATAAAATAAAATAAAGAAGCCTAAATACTGTGTAACTACTAACTACAGCGGCACCTTATGCGTGCTTCTTGCTAATTTAATAATTTCAAAGATTTCTCAACACCTCATTAATGGATAGAAATATTTTTGATTTTAAGTTTCATCCATCCATTGTCAATACTCCTCAAAGGCTGCATCCATAGTAAAACAGTTTAGTTTGAAAAGGCATTTTCTGGGTGAATTTGAAGCTGACGTTCACACGTGTGTAAGCTGATGACACCAGTTGATACATACAATGGCTGCAGTGCAACCACGGCAAAGATGGGGCACTTCTACAGCAGAGTGAAAAGTCTTCTGTGCTTTCACTGTGTTGGCTTTGAAATCTGTGCCAGAAAACAACTCGATATCCATGACTGACTGAGTCACCTAAACAAAGAGAGCGATAATCAACATATCATTCATCATTTTGTGTATATTCTTGCCTGGAGTGAAACTTTTTTAATGTATTGGTCCTTTCTAAGTTTTTCTACTGTGTGATTTGCTCCCTCTGCAGCTGCAGTGAATTGCATACCATGCAGCTGTCACTGGAAATGGCCAGTTCAGGTAGTAATTCAAGTGTGAGTGTATAAATGTATCTAGCTATCATTGTAAGATGCCTGGCACTTTGCTCGCCGACATTACACATCTTTTCAGTGTCCCTCTATTACATTCCTGAATACATCAATAGTAATGGAGAGAGCCGACATTTACTTGGTTTTTATGAGTAATTTTCACTCCATACAGAGAATGCATTAAGAAAGGCTGAGTCAAGCAGAGTGGAGGGAGATTAAGGAGAGGCAGGGGCTACAGAACTTTTGTTGGGTGTAGGGTTTCAGACAAGAGGGTGTATCGTTTGGAGCCCAGTATCTGATGATAATTTATTCGGTTTTAATTGAATTTTAGAGACAATAAAGTCCAGTTTTATGATGCTCCCCTGCATAGGAGTCAACCCTCCTTAAGTGCAGAATGACCTTGGGACAAAAGATAAAGGATATTATGATCTTTGTGTTCCATTGTCCATGTAATACCAACTGTTTTAGCAGTGTGTTGGTATTTCAGAAACAACGTCACCATGCTTGAAATGGCATCAGAGCAATCTTTGTTTTTATTGGTAACACAAACTTAATGTGTGAATACACTGCACAATCTAGTGACCTTAGTTCGGAGCACAATCTGATTCTCCCTATAAATTCCCTCCTATAGTAAAACTATTCAGTTATGTATTCTTTTCAAAAGCACACTTAACCAGTATTTCCTACAAATTCACATCATATTAAAAAAACTTATTTTTGCTCCCACTGACTGTTCAAACACTGCACACAGTGTCAACAGGGGCATTTTAATAAGTCCTATATTAAAGAGACTAGAGGTGTTCTCTTGATTCAACCTCTGATGAGCCCTTCACAAAAGGTTATGCAGCCACGCCTCTACAACAAGCTGAGAGTTACTTTGAAAATGAAACCAATCCTCTCAGGGGAATTACTCAGGGAAGATCATTAATGCACACATTTCCAATTAGGGCCATTGTGAACTGCAGTCCTCCTGTGTCACTCAAAGGTCCTTTTTTACACCGGCAGCTAATCCTCAATGCTCACACCGGGTTTCATCTTCCTGTGCAGACCCCCTGTATGGTGTGAAGTTCTTTTCAATATCTTAGTGGTTGCTCTAAAGCATAGCCAATTTCAGCTCCCGGGTGCATTACCGACCTTTTTACTTCCTTTAAATCAAAGCACATCTCGGTATAACTGTGACGTCTGTGCCACACTCTGGACGTGGGGGTGTGTGGTGATGAGGGGGGGGGGGTAGAGAGGTGAAGATGGAGTGGGGAGGGAGGGGCTGTCGGGGCAAATGAGAGATACCTTGATGTTGGTTGCCCACCGCCAATAAACCAAAAACAACGAAGAAGAAAAAGAAGAGGACTCATGGGGACTGGGTCTTCCAATAATGTGGAAGAAAGTTTTTTCCATTGCTTGTTCCTATCACATATCTTGGAAGTCAACTTGACTTGAATTACCAACAATTCCCTAGTATTTATAACCTAAAGTTCTTCGTTTTCTGCTGCTAAAATGTGCAGCCACACCTTCATATCACTGTACATAGTGTGTATATATGACAACACTTACTGTCTCCCTGGCAACGCAGCGGTCCAACAGTCAGCTTGGCTAAAGATCCTGGTCGGTTGGTGTCACCCACGGCAACCTGGCTGACTGGCAGGTGTTCTTTATAAACCAGGAGACCAGAATCTTCTCTCCTGTGAGAATGATGGCGCGAATCAAAAAATCAAATCAAAAGAATGATATGATATCAAAAAATAATACACACTTTAAATAAAAGAGTTGCTATTAAGTAGTCCACAGACATAATCCCAGGTCAAAAAAATATTTAATTAATTCAATGAACTTTGTGGTCGTGTATTTTATGTACCTGAGTGAGCATGAATGTCTGTGCTGCCAAAATTATGGGTAGTGAGTAGAAATAGAGTTATATGGGTATAATTTCAAAAACTCGCTCAGCCAGAGAATAAGACATTAATGCATACATTATTAATAGAGACAGATAATGACTTATTTATCATATCATCAATTTTGGAGATGAGCAGAGAGAAACATGAAATCAAATGAAATCTCTCCTTCTTGCGAACATGCTGTAATTACTCACATATAGTATTTATAGACACACGCACACCCACTAGACAACAATGCACTTGGTTTAATGAGAATATCCATCAGCGGGCTAAGAGAGCTGAGAAACACAAACTGTTGGTTCTGGAAGCAAACATCACTCTTAAGCGAACGCATCATTGTGTTGGTGCCGTTCATCATCCAACCACTTCAGCGTCTGAAGTGAGACACCTCATCAGACCGCCCAGCCAAGATGGATTTCTGACTATGCAGATTAATGCTAACATTAGCAATTAGCAATGGTGGCAATTTGAGTTTCAGTGTGAGATTGTTTGTGAGACGCCATGGGTACGACATGTATTTTATTCAAAGATTCAGTTGATATTATCATAACACAATCATTCCGCTTTTCTTCAGATGTTTTATTTTAAGGTTGTTATTCTCCTTGAAGCAAATTTGTGTTATTAGGCCACATAAATAAAACTTGACTTCATTACTTTATTTATTCAGGGATTCAGATTTTCTTTAATATGCCAATGTAAAATGAAATCAAAATCTCTGTGACAGAACATGTACTTAGAAAATATAATGGGTCTTTTTTAAGCACGCTGACATTTCGAATTATTGAAGATAAGGCAACAGTTAATATTGTGAGAGCAAAATAGAAAAGCTGAGATACAGGTGCAGTTCACAATGAGAAAATCAGAGATGATATAACACTCACACACTCAGACCGTATGTAGGTAATAGCAGCTTCTCATTTCTAGTCAGAGTTTTTTTTTAGAATGCTGAAACTTTTGTTGGCAAAGTTAGGGTTACACCATAGACTGTATATCTGGACCTAGGGTTTGCGTGTTTGCTTATGTTCTGCCTATGTGTACACATCTGTTACATAAGCTTTCTCCTTGACATGATTATATATATGTGAAGGACAGGTCTTATCACAACTAAGAATGCAGACATTTATTTACAATACAGTTGTTTGTGCTCCTGCTGAATGTTTACATGACAAACCAACTTACCATTGTGCGAGGTCGGCGTCGCAGTTGCAGTCGTACTTGAGGTCAGTGCAGTTTCTGTCAATGCCACAGGCACATTTCTGGATGCCAGGTCCCGAGCCTCCCCAGTAGAAGTGCTTCTCACTGCCCCGGCCCACCCACCACGTGTAGGGGGTCCCATCTGGGGAGCAAACACAGACAGACACAAAAAATTGTAAGTTGCTCTCAGCAAACCGTGTCATTCCTGGCTTTTGGATGAAAAATGTTATGCTCACAAAACCCCAACAAACTTCTGTGAAGGCTCTAAAGTTGTGATGCCTCACTCCTTCCCATTACAAGTGATTAATTGTTAAATCATTAACTGTTTGAGACTTTTGCCACATTAATGTGATTTATATTGACAACTAGCAGCTGAGTGGTGAGGGGAATTCATTTGCTCAACTTGTTGCACACAGCTAAATGGTAAATACCTTTGAGAGTGGCAGGCACACTTAGTCACAGATCACGCCTGTGATTTCAGAGCTAAATCAAAAACAGCTTCGGCTCTGCGTTTACATTAATCTTTGGCATTTGAACATCATATCTCTGAGCACATATGTCGACGCACAAACATCTCTTTGTGTGCACGTGTGTGTGTGTGTGTGTGTGTGTGTGTGTGTGAGTTTCAAGGGACTGCTCTTCAATAACAAAGGTAATATTGTTTTTTTTCCTTTGCCTTGGATGAGTATTCTGGCATGAGACTGTAACGAGGTAGAGAGACGGGTGTAAATATTTTGGAGGCTGGCAATATATCACAATAACTGGACGAGAGCAGGGAAACAATATTACATTTTCCTCTTTATTCTGGAAGAATAAACTGCATTGTCAATATCACTTTGTCAAATTCCATCAGAGACAATGAAATCTCCAGAGCCATATATTTCTACAGGACAGGATTGAAGTAGACTTTGGATGCAGCACAATTGCTTTGAGGGGAGTTTATTACTATACTTTTGATTTTCCGAACTGGGACTTAAGTCCAGGAAGAAGCTACAGATGTGACTTTGTGTGTTGCTGTATATTGTCTGTGTGTTTTTCGCCTCAGTGTCCTGTGGGTTTATTGTGTTCATAAAGAGAATTAGCCTCATCTCTCTTCAGGCCACTGTTCAGACAAGCTATTGTCAATAGGATTAACATTGTCTCCTTAAGAGACTTCACAATTCTCTCCCTTTGTGTGTTCATTTGTGTGTATTTGTGTTGTTGCAATTCTGCACAAGTAAGAAGCAAGTTTCAGTCTAAGACCTTCATAGTTAGGTCAGTGGGGTCCCCAAACACAGCCCCATCCAAGCTAAGCCCCCAGTCAACCAAAACTGCATCCATTTCTACCCCCAACCCAATTAGTGAGAGTCATGTCATCGTCCTTGAAGCTGATCTGTGGCCACTTTGAAGTCACTTGCCAGTCACTTGGCAGTTACTCACATGGTGTAGTTATGTCCCCACCCGCTTTAGCAAGACCCCATAATCAGTGAAAGTATTACTGCAGCACACATTTCCAAACAGACAAGCCATAAAGCAATGAAAAGATGCGATAGATTGAAGGAAATGTAAAGCTTTTCTACAGGTGAAAAACAAACCTGGACATATACAAACATAAATAACCGTCTATAAAGACTAAAATATTAAATTTAGCACTTCAGTCAGTCAAACCGGATGTGGTGCAGCCGATCACGAAAGTCACATCAGTAAGACAAGAGTCACCTTGTATTGAGTCTGAGCCAAAGGGGCACGCAACCAAATAAACAAAAACATGCAGTGTGCAGCAGTGAGCGAATGCCCCAGCAGCTCTCATTTTATTCGCTCATTTTCTGCTTGGCCTCTCACTAACCCTGCCATGTAATAACACAGCCGATTCCTGCTGTCACTCTATTAAGTTTTTCCAGACAGGTAGGGAGCAGGTACTATTTCGATATGCAAGTAAAAGAGTCCAACTTTATCCTTCCCATAATTTGCTCCTCAGGATGAGTAATCAAATAAGACAGAGAGAAGTGAGGAGAAAAGGGGAAAGGAAAAGTGGTGTAGGATTAACTGCAGGGCGTCCGGTGGAATGGGAGCTACCTATTGTGCCACTTTAAGTCTCCTGTGCACTTTGGTTAAAGCTTTGCAAAAACAAACAACTGAGAGGTGGCGAAAGTGAAGAAGATGGTGGAGGGGGAGATGAGCAAACGGAAAATAGATGGAGATGTGAGTAAGGAGAGATAGAATCATTTTGGCTGAGAGTTCATATGGGGAGGGCACTGCCAAGATGAGGCTGTGTGACTGAGAAGGACAGTGTGTGAGAGATTATGTGCTCAAAAGTCCTTGATGGGGCAGAAGACTGTAACAGGAAGGATTAACTAAAAAAAAAACTTGTTAAATGAAAATGGAAAGAGATGTGTGTATGTCTTGTCCTTGGATCTGCACTGCGGGACAGACGTGTTCCCGCAACTGCATTTCTGTCTAGACTAATGGGGCCCTAGGTAAGATGTCTGCTGGTGCCTCTGAAGGTCTGATTTCTTTATTAGAATACATTATGACAAATATAATGCATTTGTAATACTTTATTATTTCAAATTTTTCATATCTCTATGATTTTAAGGTTTCTTTGTTACTGTTCAACTGTGCGCCAAAGTCTTGGGGTGCACTCTCAACCGAGGCCAGGTCAGGGACCTGGGCGTACTGATCTTTAGCAGTGAAGAGTCGCTGGGTTGTGGAATGTGACCTCTCTATTGGGCTAGGACTCTGAGGTGCAGCAATACCATACTGGCTCTGGACCCAAACCCCTCGAGAGGGTCTGGACACAGTGCTGAGAAATTCAAGGCCCAGTGATGTGGTTCTATTGGTTTCATCAGACCATGACCTCCATCATGCACTAGAAAAGTTTGCAGCCAAATGTAAAGTGTTTGAGATGGCAGTCACCACCTTCAACTGTGGATTGCTCCCTTTAGGATGTGAGGTAGTCTCTTGCCTAAATGAAGGAATACAAGTGTCTTAAGGGCATTGTTCTCGAGTCAGGGTAGGATGGAGGAGGAGATGATCAGCGGATTGGTGCTGCATTAGTTAAGTAAAGGGGACATTTAACTGGACTGGTATGGTAAAGAGGAAGCTAAGCTGGAGGACAAATCCTTTGATTTATAAGTTGATTTCTGTTCAGATCCTCACCTATGATCATGAGCTTAGGATAGTAACCAAACGAATAAGGTCGTGGATACCAGGGGCTGAAATAAATTTCCCTAGCATGGTGTATGGGCTCAGTCTAATGATAGGTTCCGACATCCAGTGGGAGCTTGAAATAGAGCTGCAGCTCTTCTGCATTCAAAGGAACCAGAAGTTGTGATTTGGGCATCATTAGGATGCCTCCTGGGTGCCTTCCATTGGAGGCCCCCCTGGGTCTTCTGGTAAGAGGTAGACCCAGAACACAAATTATGTAGCTCATCTGACCTAGGAATGGATTGAAATCCTCCAGGAGGAGATGGAAAACACTGCTTGTGAGAGAAACATATTTGCTTTTTTAACTGGCTACCACTGACTATGGATAAGCAAAAGAAAACGGATGGATGCATGATCTTTGGTGCTTCTGGTGCCACAACACTGAACTTTGTTATTGTAGTTTTGCAGTTCTTATATTCCTAGTTCTCAGTTAATACTTTAATGCATATAATACAATATAATACCAAAACTAAGCAGATGAGACCAAGATAGACCTACATAAACCAGAATTATCCATTAAACCTCACAGGATGAACAAATAAACTCTGCTCCAAGCTTTAACTTCTTGTCTGTACTTGTATCTTTATAATCTTACTCTTTACAGTATAGCCATCCTTACTGCAGCCTTTCTCTGTCAGACAATTCCCCAACAAATATGCAAAACGTTCACAGGAGAGGAGCGAACAGACATGACGGATTGATCAGGACTGGGTTTGTGTTGCTCTTCTGTCCTCAGGGACAGTCACACAACACCGCTTATTGTGATGACTTTATCTATCCCTTATGTTAGCAACACACACAAACACAAACCTATTTATCTCCCTTCTTATCCAGGGAGGTTAATGTCTACATCTTCATCATGTCTGCTGCATTTTGTACAGAGACTACAGAGACCCCAGATAGTAGAGTGGTGGAGGGAAAAAACACAAAGAGAAGAGGAGAGAGTAAAAGGGAGAAAGGGGGCTGTGAGATAAAAAAGAATGACAGCAAAAATAAAGGACAGCAATGAAAAAGAGTGTGAGAGATAGAGAGTAATCGCTGTCTTCAAAGTGAAATGAAACCTCATAGTTTCATCCTGTCAGAAACCATTGACGCTAGCCAGGTTATTAGAACCAAAATGGCACCTAAAATCCTCAGAGTAATGTTGTAGAGATCACAGCCTTTCACTCACAAGTGGGCCACGGAGCTAACTGCCATTCATATTGTTCATATTCCGCTAAAGCTTAGAAGAGTATCTGTGCCTGGAGGCCACACCTTAATACCAAAGACCTTCATGTCACACATCATGCACCATGAGGTATCTGGATGTTGTGACCTGTTGACTGCGTTTTAAAAGATGATTAATGGAAAATCCATCCATGCATCAATTATCTATACTGCTAATCATTTGAAGCTTGCATAGCGGCAGGAGAATAAAGATACATGAGCACTTGAACATACATTACTACGATAAAAAAAAACTTAAATGACAGAAACTGTCTTTGATTAAAATGTATATTGAAGTGTACTTTTACTTTTTTGTTTTGTCAATGTCCCATCTATTAACACGGAGGATACAGGGTGTATGACCTATACTGGCTGCCAGCATATGTGGAGAACTTTTAACAGTTCCCAATTTGTCTTACAGCTGGTGACACTGGTGAACAACTATTAATGAGCTTTTTGGGAATGTTTTTTAATCACAAAGGATTAATTTGATGGTTACAAGTACTTAATCATGATGGATGACTGATACAGCAGGAGATCATTGCTGCATTTTACACATTTTCCCAAGAGAGAAAAGAACTTTGTTGGTTGAATCAAATTTATTGAAGATTTTTCAATCACAGATATGTTTGAAGCCGTGTAAATAAAATCCATATTATTGGTTACCAGTACTCACACCACAAGTACATAGGGCACATTTTGTTCATATCAAGGGATCAGACCCCTGCCAGTCGGAGCGTAAATTGAAAG